CTGGCTTAAGCTGCAGCTGAATGGCTCCCTAACTTCCCAGTGTTATACCCCAAGTCTTCTGCTCCTGAAGAGGGGCAGCTTTGCCCTCTTGAACTCATTTGGGCATCGTGACAGAGGCTTAGCCTCCAACGTGGAGTGAGTAATGCTGGCTTTGGGCTGGTCTGGCTGAGCTCAGCCCCTGCTCCCAGCCCCAGCCCCTTCCCCCTACCCCTCCCTTTCTGGGTTATTCTTAGCAAGAGGTGACCTCAGAATGCTCCCACTGAGCAAAAATAACCCTGGAGGAAGTTGGTGGGTATAAATCTTCAATGAATAAATACAGATACCTAGTAAACAGGGTATGGAACCCCAAAAGGCTGGTCACCCAGGGTCTGGTGGGCAAGGCAGAAACTATCCCTCCTGATGCCCCAGTTGTAACCAGCATGAAAGACAAAGTGGTGGCAGGGCTGCCTGGGCTTGTGACCAGTCAGGACCCAGCTTCGGACGCCCTCACTTGTGACGTCCTCAGGGGTTGGTGAACAGGAAGATGCCTCTTCCTCTCACCCTGACGCTCACACCCACACACAGGCTCACACTCTCCGGCCGGCAGAAATCAGCCCCTGCACACTGCTGTCCCTCCTCCCCATCGTGGGCACCGGCCAGCCCACAGGCCCTGAGCCCAGGTGCCAGCTCCCTTCCTAAGCCCCGCCCAGCCCTGCCCTGGCTTCCTGTTTCCTGTTGCCGGCTCCGCTCAAGCATCCTGGCTCTGAGGCCAGCGCCGCAGAGCAACGCACTGCCTGGTTTGGACGGCCCAGCTCTCACTCCTCAGACCACCGCAGCCTTCCCCGCTTACCCACAGGCTCCCTGGTACTTGGGTCAATCACCCTCCTCCTATTATAGATATGAGTTCTGTTTCTCTTTATGCTCCTTGTACCGGGTCTACACTTCTTTCTAACAGCCCTGCATTCACATGTTAACTTAAGGGGGATTTTGGACACCCAGGCTTCCAGAGCACGTGACTGCAGTGGTGCGGAGGAATGAGCACTGTGGCCTCTGCAGGGCGGGACGCGTGGAGTCCCAGGCCCAGTCAGCCTCTCTGAACCTCGGTCTCTTCATCTGAATGTGGGCATGGTAATGACAGGGGCCCCACCTACTTCCCACACAGAGGTCATCCTTGCCAGAAGCCTCTCTAGGCCATAAAGTGCTACACGACTCTGAGCCTTTATTCGTGGTCTCTGGCCTCAGGGAGGTGGGTAGACAGTGCAAGGTCGGGTGGTAGTAAGCGTCAAATCTAGTGGAAGGGACAAGCTCTCTCTTTGTGCTTTTCCAACTATCTGGGCTGAAAGGCCAGGTTTTTGCTGTAGTTTTCTTCGTTCTCAATCCATCAAGAAATGATACTTTGGTAAAATACAAAATGTGGTGACAGTATCAAATTGACGTAAAAGCTTCAAATTACTTATTCTCCCGTCCTACAAAAACCTGTAGCAGGTCAAAGACCAGTGCCGTCCAAGCACACGATCAGTGGGCTTAGTATCTCCTCTTTTATTCCTTAGTGTTCATTTTGATTAATTTTACAAGCAGCTCAGGAGAGAGGGTCACAGTGGCTGAAGTGGGCTTCACTTGCAGGACGGGCTTGGATGGTCCGGGCCGGTGGGGCAGGGAAAGAGAAGAGCAGATGGTGGACCAGCACGCGAGGCAGCAGGAGAAACATGCCTGGTGTGTCCCGGGGGCAGCGAGAAGTCGGGGTTTCTATGATAAAAGCCATGGATACTGAGTCCCAGAGCAGGGGCAGGAGAGATCATGTGGTGAGGAGCCATTTGGAGTATTCCAGACCTTGTCCCATAAGAAATGGGGTCCCTGGGGGCACCTGGGTGGCTCAGTTAGGCACCTGCCTTCAGCTCATGTCATGATATTGGGGTCCTGGGAGCTCCCATGTTGGTCTCCCTGCTCAGTGGGGAGTCTGCTTCTCCTTCTCCCTCTGCCCCTCCCTCTCCCCCGCTCATGCTCTTTCAAATAAATAAGTAAAATCTTTAAAAAAAAAAAAAAAAGGGGGGGTCCCTGGAGAGTCTTGAGCAGAAACGTACCATGGACAGTATTTAGTGTAACTGAATGTGGCCCTCCTCTCTAGCACATCAGGGTGAAAGGTAAGTCTTATTTATCAGTGTGGCCTCCTCAGCCTGGTAGGTGCTCAGTGGTCCGTCGCTGAGGGGTTATAAAGTATCCTGGGGGGGGGCAGCCAGGAGGCTGAGACAGGAGCAGGAATGAGTGGGAGATACCCAGGGACAGACGGGCCTTGGGGACAAAACAAGGAGAGAGATGATGATTCCTTAGTCTCGGAGGCCAGGGGATGGTGAGGACAGTAGTGGCGTGCCTCATCCCCCCCGCTGTCCGGCACAGGGATATGCACAAATAAAGACCCCAGCCCGCGGCCCTCTCTTACTCTCGCTTCCCAGCACTCCCCGCTCCGTGCCACCTGTCGGGATCTGAGCCAAGCTCCCTCCTCTTTCCAGGCTTAGCTGGATGACACACACTCAGCTGCTTTAAAGCTCCCTGGTCAATCTGTTCCCAGGGCCACAGCTGCACCAGGTCCCCAAGAAGCCCTCCGGCTACGCTCCTCTGCTGGGGAGGGAGGGGAGGCCAGGGCAAGCACCTGCTCCACCAGCAAGCCAGATGGCCTAGGAGCCAGGGGACCAGGAGCCAACCTCTAGCAGCAGCGCCGTCCCCCACGTGGGCTCCCTTGGGGGCCCGGGGGCCTGCTGCCTGGGAAGGTCTGCGAGCTCTTTTCTCTGGGGTCAGTCTTTCCCTGCTCCCCTAGGGTGCAAGGGGTCCCTTTCACAACAGCTGCCTCCCCCGTGCTCTCTCTCCCATCCTGGGGCCTCTCTTGAGAGTCCAGGAGGCTGCAGGTGTCAGCTAGGGCATGGGACGGACCACACACAGACTATGACCCACACAGGCTGTACAGCGCCTCCCACCAGGGCTGGGCTCCCACCTGAAAGGTCTGGTAGACCCTGGCTCCACTGGCCCAGGGGAGCAGGTTTATTACACTGTCCGCCCTGCACATTTGGATCCACTTTGAATATTTGCAAAGCACCCCTGGTGGTGGACAGGACAGGTATTACTGGTAGCCATATTTTCCCAATGAAGAAGAAGTTCCGAGAAGCTCAGTAACTTGCTCAAGGTCACACAGCTGGGAAGCAGTAAATCCAGTGCGGTTTCTTCTATCAAACTGAGGTTGCCGTGGCCTCCTAAAGAGGAAAGGTTTGGCAGGGCAAGGGCACGACGGGCCTTTGCTAAGCACTGGCTCTCTCTGGTGCTTGCACACATTTAATTCCCCCAGGCATCTAGGAGGAATGCATCCTTAGCGTCTCTGTTTTTCAGGGGCGGGGGAAGCCAAGGTTCAGACAGTGACTTCTTCAAGATCACATGGGTGGTAAGTGGTGGAGCTAGGATTTAAACATAGGTCTGCTGTATCCTGAAGAGGGTGCTTTTCCCTCTACACTAAGTCCCTGTCCCGGGGCCAGGGATGGGGAGGATGTAGGACCCACTGAGGCTTCCCCGACTCGGCCCTGCCCCTCCTCCCTCTCACTGGTCCCTCTCTGGACACATTTCCACACACCTGCCCCTGACTTCCTTGCACTTTTTGTCCCCAGGGCCTCACTACACCTCCCGCTGATGTGCCCTCCCTCTGGTCCTGGGGACTCACAAGGATGAGCCAAAGGGTTGCCAGGTCTTTATTTGCTATAGGTGGTGACTCTTGTCCCCAATGCACCTGGATGGGGGGCGGGGGGCGGAGTTCTCGCCCACAGATCGTAGTCACACGGGCAGATGGGGAATTACCAGTGGGCTCTGACTCAGCCTGGCTCCCCCTCCAGCCTGCACTGGGGCCCTCCACCTTCTCCCACAAGGAGGAGAGGAGAGGGGCACCCTGGGAATCTGGGAGTACAGCCTGGAGTCTGAAGCAAGCTGGAAATTCCTTTGAAGTCCCATTTTATCTTTCAACTTCATGTGAATTTTTCATTACAGGCCATAAAATATCCATGTTTGCTTTAATATTAAAATGCTTAAAATTACTTACCAATTAAATGACTTAACTTCTGCCCCCCCGCCCCTCCCAGTCTTCAAGCAGATTTAGCAGCGGTGCACTTTGGTACGTGCAGGTGCCCGGCCTCTGGCTCTGGGCCCCCTCGCCTCCCGCCGCTGCAGCCCTCCCTCCCTCTGCTGTCCCTTTCACTAGGGCCACCATGCACCCTGACTCTCCACCCCATGGGAGAAAATCCTGCCCTGCTGAGAACATTTCCTTGACGGGCTGAGTTACAGATCTGAGCTCCCATTCTCAGCTGGAAGGGGCTGAAGGAAAGGAACCAGCTGTCTTCGGCGCTGGCAAATAACTTCGCTCTGCCTCTGAGTCGAGGGCATAGGCACGCAGGCTCCTAGAGCCCATGGGTCGTGCCCCCCGGAGCACTGTTCATCTTGGGCAACCCCAGGGCTCCCCCCCAGACTCAGAGAGGTTCTGGCCCCCAGAAGCCTGGGCTTGGGGCCGGCCCTGAAGCCCACACTTACACAGCGTCCGGTTCTCCTTCTTTATTCTGAGGGACCGATCGGCCTGCATCTCCCCTCACTTTGATCAGACTCCCAGGCCTGGGCTCCCTTCCTCCAGATTCTCAGGTGGGGCTGAGGCCCAGGGTGGGTGTGTGGATGGGGAGGAAGGGGCCTGTGCAGACTGGCCTGGGGTCACTGTCAGGCTCTTACTGCCCCTTCCAGAAGGAAGTCCCAGCTCTGCTCCAACTCACAGTGCAAGTCCTCTGGTCCCTAGGGGCTTCCGGTTCAAGGCAGAGAGCAGGAAAGTTGTGAGGGTAATGGTAGGGTTCCAAGCACGGGGAAGGTCAGGGAGCTCTGCAGCCAGAGGGCTGCACCCCATGGCCCGGCCCTAATGGCCTCAGGTGCCTGTAGGACACACATGACTGACTGCTGTTTAGAGCATGCGTGTGTGCTGGCGGGGTGGGGGGGTGTGCCGTGACACTCACCGGGGGGTGCTTGCGCTTCCGCCCAGGCCGCCCCACCTTCCGAGCGGTGGTGCCGGGTTCCTGCCGCTCCTCCTTGCCACGAGCTCCGTCCTGCTCCTCTCCCTCCTGTGGGTACAGACAGCCTGTGAAGCTGGGGCTGTATCCAAGAGGCCCCTCCCCTGTCCCCCGACCCCCACGACAGCCACACTTCCAGGGCCACGCCAGGCTGTTCCCCCTGGCAGAGGCGGCCTTTGCCCGTCTCTGGCTTGGCAAAGCCAGAACCCACCCTTCGGGCCCCGTGTAAACAGAACCTCGGGGGACTTCAGGGTAGACATTGATGGCCCAATGCTATGCCGCCCTCCCTCCTGGTGGACACATTTTCTTAACCCCAGAATCACAACACGGGCTCTGACAAAAAGTGTGTTTCTGGATAGGAGTTTGTTTCTGTGAAACACATCTTACATGGGTACAAAAATTAAGTGAGTCTCATATTTAATGGATCACCTTTCTTGAAAATAAGATGCCCTGAAAAGAAATATTAAATTGAGCGACTGGAAACAGGAGCAACACTTGGAATGAGGACCGTGGCCAACGATGGAGAACTTTCACGGCCCCTGTGAATACACCTGCTCGGAAGCGCTTGCCCTGTATGCCTGTCACCCCCCAGGAGCATCTCAGGGACAGTGTCTTGGTTCATCTGAATGCCCTCCCTGCACTCATGGAGTTCTGGACCCAAAGTCTGGTTTGCGAACCCACCTCACCCGACACCTGCCAGGGCCGGGCCCTGCTACGTTGTCTCATGGAGCACGGAGTAAGAAACCTAGAAAGTCCTCCTGCCTCACTGCTCCAGCAGCCCGGCCACAAACCACCCACGGGTCACTTCTGACTCAGCCGGCTCCAGCATGACTAATCACAAACAGAAACAACGCTGGGGAAGGAGAAAGGGACCCTGACCCAGCGGAGGGACCATGGGCAGCTCTCCAAGCCCCTGCAGGACGTCAGGAGCCGAAGATGGCTTCACGGTCCTCCCTGGGGAGGGTCCCACCCCAGAGCAGCCCCAGTGCCCCAGGAGAGAAAGGGAGGGTGCCCAGGTTCCCAGTGGATTTAATCAAGATGTCCCTCAACATCCCACTCAACTTTCATTTTCTGTGATTTCAAAATAGCTTGTGGTTTGCCCGTCTGTGGGCGGGAGGGGAGGGTCCAGGGTGGAGAGCGAGTGTGCACCAGGACCAGAGACCCCTGACAGGCTCTTTTCAGGAAAACATGGCAGAGAAGCTGTGAGGGCAGGATGGCCACCGGGGGGACAGCCAGATGGTGGAGGGGCTGGGGCACATACCCCACGGTAGACCAGGCCTCTGGTGCTGGGCTGTCCTTGAGACCCCCGCAGACAGCCCTATAGAAGAAATGATCACTTGGATCTCAGAGAGAGGAAGTATTACCAAGGCACCCTAATCCTGGTGACGGTTTCAGCTGGATCTACGCAATGGCAGTGAATTTCAGGGGGAGACGGTGCTTTGGGTCTGACTCTACGGCTGCGAAATGGGCACTGTCTTGATCATTCTGACTAGGTAACTCAGCGTTTACAAAACAGAGTCAATGTGAGGTCATGTGAGGTCATGCAACGGCACGGGATTTAGAGCAGACCAGCATGGGTTTGGGCCCAGCTTGTCCATTAGCTAGTTACAGTATATCACTTTCTCCGAGCTTCACTCTCCTCATTCGTAAAAGGGGACCATGAAGGGGCCCATTCTGCCTGCTTCTCAAGTTTTTAAGAGGAATGAACAAATGTTCTGTCCCGTTGTCTGTTTCGTGCACTGCTGAGCTTCCAGAGCCTAGACCCGGCCATGCACTTAGTGAGTATTCCGCATGCCCCACCCTCCGCTGGGCGGCGGGGGGGCGGGGGGGGGGGAGGGGAGACTTACATATTCCCTGGGGGCAGGAGGCCGCTCAGCGCCTGTGTTTGGGCCTGGAAAGCACTAGGCCAGACCTCGTCAAGCTGCTGACCATTCCTCACAGCAGGGCCCCTGGGACTGGAATGCATAAGGCAACGGGCAAGAGAGGGACACCAATGTGGATCAGGATCAGTCTGGGTGACCACAGGGTCTGGAAAGACTCCTACCACCCATAAATTCTGGGCTATGAACTATTTCTTTAACGGACTGCATGGAAGATCCCTCCGACAGAGGGATTCATCTGAGTTTGTTTTATTCTGAACTGACCTGAGATGCGAAAGTCATTGTGTGCCCCTGCTCAGCACTAAGGAACCACAGTTACCCCACCGCAACAACCTAACAACAAAGACACTTGATATTTCGGGACCCCTAAGCCCTGGCTCCCATCAGTACGTGGAGAAAGGCCCAGGGGCCCCTGGCAGGCAACTCCTGAGCTACCTGGAGACTTTGGTGATTCTGCACGTTGGTGACACGGGCTATGCGGGATGAGCAGGAGATGCTCGACACATCTTCCCCCGTTGTATTCAACGCAGCCACAATACACCCAGGGAGGAAGGAATGCCTGGATGCCGTGCCACCTAGCCAGGCCCCGACGTGTTGAGAGTGTGGACATCACCAGGGCAGGCCGTCCCGTGCTGAGCCCAGTGCAAGGTGTGATATGCCCCATCTGGCCTTCAGGCCTCAGGCTCCCCTGGTTTGTGACTGAAGAAACCAAATCTCCCCAAGAGCCTGGGTGGGGGCTCGAACCTAGGTCTACGCAACTCCTGACCCATGCCGTTTCCATCAGGCCCTAGAGTACAGCTCTGTGAAAAGCATGTTATTTGGGGCCAACATACACTCTTTCACCATGTAGCAATGTCATGAGGGCAAAGAGAGGGTGGCGGGACCTCCTGCTCCGGGCCTGCCTGAGTTCACACAGAGTTAGGGGGATAACACACAGAGGAGGGTGAGCAGATGGCTCGGGGTCAGGCCCCTCAAGGAGGCGTATCAAGTGGTCCATTCTCGCATCTGTCATGGGCCTGGGTTCATTCAATATCTTTGCTGATGGGCTGAGCAAAGGAATGTAAAATATGCTTATCAAATCTGGAAGCAGCACTGAATTAGGCAGCGTCACTAATACTCTGAAAGGGAAGAATCTGATCCACGGGGACTTGGGCAGCTGGAAAACAAATTGAGCAGGAACAGACATGAGCCCAGGTTGGTTTCCTCATCCGTCCACTAAGGGGACTGAATTAGTCAGTCCCCACAGTGGGAAGTGGCAGGAGGGGGGCAGAAATTCTAGTTGGGTGGGATTTGGAGAGGGCCGGGGGGCGGGGGGTGGTGAGCTGGACTTTCTGCCCTGCTCTTGACTCACTAGTAACTTCAGGCTAGTTACCTGAGTCTTGCTTTCCTCAGCTATAAAACGGGGATGATAACATCTTTCCAGCGATGCTGTGACAGTTCAATGAGGTAATAGTCCATCCAAAGCCGACACATGATATAGTCCCTCAAGAACCGCTAACTTCTGCTCCACACATCCTGACCAGAACTATTCACAAAAGTGCATCCCTCCCTTTCCCCCTGCCCTCCCTCCCTATCCCCATGCGAATCCCAGCGCCCTGCATTTGCACCCATCACTCACTACCACAGACAAAACCCAGCATCTGGCTGGTCCTGCTGCAGTGAGATACTCAGAAACACGGGGCTCTCTGATCTTTCCAAAATGCAAAGCTGATTATGTCACTCTGCAGAGCTTAAGCCCTTGCTGAGGGGGCTCCTGGGGGCCTGCAGGATCAAGCCAAGCTCCTTAGCCGGTGTGAAGGAAGGCCCCCAAGATCTGGCGGGCCGCCTTGGTCTCTTCTCCCCACTGCCTTCCTCCCACCCATCGCCAACAGACTGCACCAGGTGCAAAAGCAGGCTGCTCCCCTCCCCAGTGCCTTGGCATAGACCGTTCCTTTTGCCCCGACTCCCTCCCCCTCAGGTGGACCAGCAAACCCTTACTTTTCCAAACTCATTTCCCAGATTTCCTTCCCCTAGGCTCCCTCCTCTGATCCTCTGACTGAGTCATAGGTCCTCCCCCCGCCCATAGCACACACTCCCCAGCACTGTGATTGCTAACCAGCGTCCTAGACAGGCCCCAAGCCCCTTGGGGGAAGGGGCTTTGTCTTACCTCGGCACCCCCAGTGCCTAGACCGAGGCACCTAGCGTGAGGCAGGCACTGAAAAACCCTTGATGAGTGACTGTCACATAGTAGGTACACACACACAGTGGTGCACATGCAAACCCACAAACTGGCATGAACATAACTGTGCATGAGGCCCTAGTGCTGCTCTGATCTTTAGGATTTGAAATCAGGAAACAGGATGACTCAAATGTACTTTCTAGGCTTAAACACAATCATGTCACTTTACATTTATGTAACTCTTTACAGCTTTCAAAGCACCTTCACATTTGGTGGTCTCTTAGATTAGGTAGTTACCATCAGCCTCTCTAAACTTCTGAGGCTATGATTTGACCTAGATTTTAGCACAGCTCACTGGATGGATTATTTTAAGCCACATACAACTTCTCATTCTGATGAGCTGGGCTGTGACGATAATAATCTCTCGCAGTTGTACAGTACATGGTAATTAACAAAGCATTTTCACATACATTGTTTCATTTTGTTCTTCTGCTTTACAGAAAGCAGAGCCCATATTATTTTCTTCTATCACACAGGCGGGAAATCTGAAGCTCAGAGGGGTTACCTAACTTGCAGAGATCAGAGAGCCAGGAAAAAAGGCTTTAGAACCAACATTTAAATCTTTTGATTCCCAGCTCATGGGTCTTTCTGCCACTATACCCTACTAGGATCCGTGCTCCTGACATGTGTCACCGTGTGCGTCACTGGGAAACCATGAGCAGGCAGGCAATCCAAGGCAGGGGCACACATTAGCATTCACATGTACACATCCACGCAGCTGTCTCAGGAGGCTCCTGCCTGGACATAGGACCCCTCCCCTTAAGAGATCTATGTCTCACCCGGAGCCAGCCAGCCAGATGTACGTGCTCCCTTCAGAACACACACCGGATGCTACTGACCCAGCATCCGTTGAGCAGATGTCTCAAGTTGGTGTTTGAGTGGAGGGGATGAACTTGCCGGATCTAGCCAGCCACTTGCCCAGACCCTTTGGGACAAGAAGCACGGACAGCTTT